GAAAATGAGTCTGAATGTAAAACTAATGACATTAGCTAGAGCTAGGAGAAAGCTCTATGTAGACATCGGAATCACCTCAATCAGACATCGAACGGAAATTTGGGACGCGTTGGAAGTTCGCCTCACGTGCTGTCAAATGACAACACTAATGCTGTCAAATTTCACGCAATATGCCGCATTGCATGGCTCCTTACTCCACGACACATGGCACAAAGAAGACACACCGCAGTGCATGTACCGTAAGCCGCGGCACACGAGTCACTTTCTGCACAAAATTTGTTTGAGTTTTAAAACTTATTATTTGGGTCCCAATTGATTTTCAAGCTTCCACTTTATTTTCAAAACTCTGATTTGGAGTTGTTAAATCATGTTTGAGATTTGATTTGTTGGGATTAAGATTTCTTTGAAAGAATTTGGATAAATTTCTTTTATAAAACTTTACAATTTGGTAATCCTTTAAGGGTAAAACTCTAAATTACCATGATTTGGAGTAATTTGCGGTTTAACCTCTGGGAGGTTACAAAGGTCACCATTGATGCTCAACATTTAGCAGCAACTAAATAGTCAATACTAATATGTGGTTTATACAGCGACATTTGTCACTATTGATTCTCAACTCAACAATGTATATTTCTACGACAACTTTTAGTGAAAACTTTTTAACTATCACTATAGAAAGTCAATTTTTTTTGAAATGAAAATAACAATTAAGTTTCAAAACTTTAATTCAATGATACCAATTAGATCAAAAAAACCTGTTAAAAAATAAGTTAAAATATTAATTTATAGCATTACAAATATGATAGTTTCCATTGTAAATAGTGAACTATTAACAATTAAAGGCTTGTATGATTTTTGTTTTTAAAAACTATTTTGTTAAAAAAATCATTTAGATAAATGTTTTAAATTTAAACTTTTTTAAAAATTGTTCATTTTTTGTTTTAAAAATAAAAAAAAGTTGTTTTCATTTTATTTTTATTTTTAAAGAACATATTTAATTATTGAAAACTATCATCAACTACAAGTAATTAGAATCATAAACCACCATTATTAATTACTAACCAATATTATCAACCAATTTTTTAGTTCTAAAATTGTTTTCAAATTAACATAATTAAATAGATTTTTTTTATCAGATTCCTATATGTTTTGTTTTTAAATGCTATTTTATATTACAGTTTTAAGAATTGTTTTCAAGAACAAATCCAAAAAAAAAATTATTTGATAATATTAATTTAAAAAAAGTTTAGAATTAAAAAACAAAACTTGCTAAGAAAAATCAGTGTTGAATATATGTTATAAAAGCCAAAAGACAAGAAAGCTTGATTGATAGCATTTGTTTTAAAAACTATTAAATAAAATGGAAGAAGTTAAATATATTTTTTGAAATGTTTGATAACATGGCTCACGTTCAATGTAGAATAAAATGGAATAAGATAACTTAGCTTATCATAATATGGGCCTCATCCAATGTTAAATAAAATGGAAAAAGATAAAATCATTGACAAGATAAATGGAATAGGATAAAATGTTTTGAAAACTAATAAGAACAATCTTGTTTATCATGACAAGACGATCTATATCATAATAGGATGAATAGAATCAGAAAAATTTGTTCAATCTTGGCCCGCCAAAAACTATCTTACTTTATCATAACAAGTCAAATCACTTCAACAAATTTAATGGCTACCCACATTCTACTTGCAAGTATTTGCTAGTAGAGTTCGAAATATATATCAATTTAAATCATATGGGTTAGGAAAAATACAAGTTAGGTTAGATTCAATCAATTTCTAGATAATTGAAAAAATCTTCCCAACCTAACCCAATCCAACCCTTAAAAGCTAGTGAGTTAAATAATGAGCTAACCAACCAACTCATATATTTTATTTCAGTTTTTTTACAAATTTTTAAAAATGCACTGAATGAAAATAATAATGAGTTTTAATATAACATTCCTTCATATCATGATTTACTCTAAATACACTAAAATGTGAACCCATGATATTTATATAAAAAATATGAATTGAGCTGGCCAAATTGTATCCTTTTATTTATCAAAAATCATTAATCTACAATATTTCCCCATTTTTTATTTTTATATTTTTTAAAAAATAATATAAGTCAAAGGGGTTGACCCTAGCCCATCAAGATTAACCCATATGATTCATCTAGTCTGGCAGAAAAAAGTACTTTTTAATTTGGGTCAGTTTTTTTCAACTCAATCCAACTCATATAACTAGTTATTTGAGCCATCTTGTATAATCTAACTTGTATTCCTGACTCCAGCGAGAAGATCTCTACACATGTTTATTAAAAAAAAAAAAAAAAAGATCTCTATACATTGCCATTTCTATTGCACTTCGATCAAATATCACTTTTCTTTGACATTTTATCAACATCCATTATATCTCTTTTTTCCAATAAAACATCCATTATATCTATATAACCTGTCATACAATTCCAAAAAGAGCATAAAATCAACTGTTCTTCCTCTAGGAGAATATAAATCTCCGTTACCATTAGTCCCACGATCTCACCACAAAATATTTTTGTGAGTTAATTCCACAGAAAACTGTAAAGAACATATATAGACAGAAGCTGGCAAACAGACATATACTCAAATTAACAACATCTGAATCTGCACTAACTGAAATACAACAAAGACTCCGCAAGATTATAAATGCTAAGTCTCCATCACGATTGAAAGAAAATTTAGTGAATATAACTTCACACACCATCACTGGGTACCAGAACCAGATCACTGTCAACAGTATTAAGTATAATAGAAAATGACGCTAATAGACAATCTCAAAATATTGATATCTAGCAGAAAAAGTTCCACATATCTTACTGTCTACATTTGTATTTGCATGAAACAAATGTATCTTTGCTGATTAGAACAAATTTGGGTATTCTTACAAATAAACGGGGGATGTTCTCATACAAAATTTAAAGCAAAAGGTTTACCGATTCTTGTTAGAAGCAAACCTGTGATTAAAAGTAGGAAAAATTAATTATTTAGTCCCTGCAATTTTAATTCAATTGTAACTCATACCCTAAATTGACTCATAAATCAATTCTTATAATTTTGACTTAGTTATAACTCTATTCCTAAACTTTGATTCTTGCAACTCAATTTATATTGTTTTAACCATTTAAAATATTGGTATCTATATTTTTAAAAATAAATTAATAAACATTAAAACTAATTTAAAATTTTAATCTTTATAATCCTTATAAAGATCAAAAGGGTTTAGTAGCTTAAAATATAAGTCCTAAATTTTAACATAATTTTAATATTTACAATTTTATTTTTTTTAAAATGGTTAAACCATAAGGGCTGAATTGTAAGGGTTAAAATTCAAGAACTGAATTACAACTAAGTCAAAACTATAAGGATCGAGTTACAATAAATTAAAATTCAAAAATTAAGTTACAACTAAGTTAAAACTATGAGAATCAAATGATTAATTTTATGAATAAAACAATTTTTAGTCCTCTTACATTTGGAGATTTTATTAATTTAGTCCCTTAACTTTAATTTCCATAATTTCAGTTCTTAATGTTTGTTTCAATTATCAAGTTAATCTTTTAAGTTTTGTAAGACAAAATAACCCTTAAAAAAGCTAACGTGGAAATTAAATTGCTGACGTAGAATATGCATGTACATTAAATAAAGCACACGCAAGTTCAATCTGACAACTCCTAATTACTGATAAATTATTTATTTTATTATTTTATAACTCATAATTTAACATTATAATTTTTTATTAGGGCATATTTAGAAGCTTCAGTGGGAGACGCATGATTGGGATAGTCAAAGAGGGAGGGCTGTGTTGCTAGTTGCCGCCGTGCACAAGACAGGAAGTGGGGTGGGGAGGGAACGAAAAAGTTAGAACAAAACTTTTGTTTCCAGTTTTGTTAACCTTAGCAATAATACACATGGATTAAATAAAGCACATAAGTTAAATCCCTGTTTTGCTAACCTCATATGTGGAAACCTAACCATCAAAAGGATGTACAAAATTCTACAAGGACACTGAAGATAAAGACATGTTCTTCCAAAAGATCTACGACTTGCCTGAAAAGCAGTAACACACAGTGGGATGGGGTACAGCTGGTAGAGTTGCACGGATAGAGAGACAAACCTGTGAGAGAAAAGCTTGAACTATGTGCCAGATCAAGACTTAAATACCTGTACTTCTCCACTCAGCAGACGAAATACAAGCAAATGATCAGTGACCACTAATGTAACGCTGAGATTGTTTCAGAAGTTCACCAATAAAAAACAAAGCAGAATCTTTACTGTCCCCACTTGTGTCATCTTGAGCAACAGCTGCCCCAGAAACCATTATTGCTGTTGGGTTTTGAATTAGCTTTAATTAAATGAAGAAAATAAAATATCATAGAGGATTAAAGATTCAGCAATGAATAACTTTTTTGCCACCAGAATATACATAACAACTTCAGATGTGGCAACTTTATCCATGCTTGGTAAGGGTCAAAACTGAGGAAAATTAAGTGAACTGAATACAGTTTTGCATTTATCACTTTCAAATAATTTTCCAGCAAGAAGATCTATTCTTTTTTGTTCGCAATCTGTGGAGTAAAGACAAGTCAGACACTTAAATTAGACACCACAGAAAACTTCATATCAAACATACATAAAGTCATAAACACAATTTTGTTGTTCATTCTTGATCATGTTTGTGTCCATTTTGAGTAATGTATTTGTTTAAGTATGTTCCGAGTTAAATATTTAGAATAATTGAAAAAAACATTTTAAGCTGAGCACAGTAGAATTCATATTTATAGAGAATCAATCAGAAGGCAAATCTCATGCCATACGGAATGTTTTATACAAAAAGGTGTGAACAAAAAATTCTCTAACCAGTTCTTTAAAGCCAATCATTTCCAGGACTTCATTTGCTTCAACCAAAACCAAAAGGGAAAAAATAAATAAAATAAAACAGGGGCGAGGGGCAGAGAGAGTCATATAAATTTCAAAGTCATATAAATTTCAATAGATATTGATTCAAATTACTATTACAGAACTTTAAGAACCACATATCATGTCACGCAACAGTAAGGCCAACACTTATTGCCCCATGCTAGAACATAAAGAGCCGAAGGGTATAATAGAATTTACAGTTGCTGTTACTTGCTCTACAGTGTTGTATATAACATCAGAGCAAGGATGGCTTCTATCCTCTACAGAGAATAAATGAATATTCTTGCTCTGTTCAATCCAACTGCATCCTGGTTCTTTTCTCAATTTCAAACTCTGCAATCTCCTCCTTACGTTCAGCTTCTGTCCCCACCTGCCTTGAACAGCATATAGGTTGGACAGAACAACAAAAGCAGATTTTGATGTTGGATCCAAACTAAACAAATTCTCAGCAGCTCTTTCAGCAATTTCCATGTCCTTCCAGAACCAACAAGCATTAAGTAAAGTTTCCCAGATCATCACATCTGTATCAATGGGCAATCTTTTGATAAATTCCTCAGCTTCTCTTAGATGGCCAGAACGACCAAGAAGATTCACCACACATGTGTAGTGTTCTATAGTCGGGTTTATTCTGTGGCAATTTTTCATTGACCAGAAAATTGACAACCCTTCATCAACTAGACCAGCATGGCCACATGCAGAGAGAATGCTAACAAAAGTAGCTGCATTTGGGACAACTCCTTGGGCCAACATGGATTCCAAGAGTGAAATTGCCTCACAGCCAAGTCCATGATATGCATAGCCATTTATAAGGGCAGTCCATGCAGCAACATTAGGTAAAGAAATGCTGATGAATGACCTTTGAGCCTCAATGAGATGACCACATTTGGAATACATGTCTATAAGTGAAGTCCCAACATAAACATTGGATTGAAATGGCGTTTTAATTAAGTTGGCATGAAGTAATTGTCCTAGTTGAAGAAATCCAAGACAAGCACAAGCATGTAATAGTACAGAAAATGTTGATCTCGTATAGTCAATTGCTGATCTGCGCATAGCTACATAAAGTTTCAGAGCCTCCTCATGCTGATTGTTTACAATGTACCCTGACATCATTGAATTCCATGTCACAGAGTCTCTCTCCCCTTTAGTTTCATTAAAGATCTTCACTGCTTTATCAAGTTCACCATAACGGGAATATACAGAAATCATAGTATTTGAAGAAGTTATAGTCTTGTGACTCATTTGCTCAAATAATCTCTTCGATTTCTCAACTTGTCCACTCATAGCATAACTTTTAATCATCATGTTGTATGAAACTGGATTTTTCTCTTTCAATCCAGAAAAGACTATCTCAGCCTCATCAATTCGTCCAGTTGAGACAAGGCTATTTATCAGTGAGTTCGAAACATTCAAACAAGGCTCTTTTATTTTGTCATAAACTCTCATGGCATCATCTATGGCTTCACAATTGCAATAAAGTTGTATAAGTGCACCATCAACTGAGTTATCAAAATCAAACCCACACTTAACACAGAGCCCATGAGTAGCCCTCCCTTGGTGTAGAACTCTCAGTTCAGCACAAGTCCTTATAACACAATCCAAGGTGAACTGATTTGGCAATACCCCAAAATTCCTCATCCACCCAAACAATTCCAAAGCCCTTTCACTCCCATTTTCACTCTTAGCATATCCTGAGATCAATATGGTCCAGGCCACAACATCCTGGGTTGGCATTTTCTGAAATACTTCCAATGCATCACTCATCATGTTACACTGGACATATCCCAAAAGCATCAAACTCCACAAGAGCTCATTCCCATCATGCATCTCATCAAAAACAGACTTAGCTTCCTCAATTTTACAGCAACGTGAGTAAAAATTCAGCAAAGAACTTCCCACAAGATCAATGTTAACAAAACCGGATTTTAAAAGCAAGGAGTGAACTTGCTTACCATGACAGAGAGACCCAGAATGTGCACATGCACTCAGTAATGTGGAAAAGGAGCTTCCATTGAGTTTGACATTACAGTGATGCATGAGTGAAGCAAGAGCTAAAGCTTCATCGTATCTTCCCCATTTGGAATAGCTAGAAATCAGGGTATTCCATGAGACAACTGTTCGATATGGCATTTCATCAAACAATTGGCGTGCTGCTTCTAGATCACCAGATTTGGCATGCTTGGTTACTAACATATTGGTGAAGACTACTTCACTTGTGAGATGAGATTTTGAGTGTCGAGGAAGGGTTGTAAGTAGTCTGAACAGTTCTTTCTGCCAATTGTACTTCGAAGTACCCAAAAGGCAAAATTTTGAAGACATTATAATGTCCAAAAGAGCTCTCCAAGAAACTTTTTTTTTTTAACCCTATTCACTGATTTTGCAACAGCTTCATTTATCATTTTGGTGAGCATTAAAAAACTACAAAAAAAAAAAAAAAATACAAACAGATCAATATGTTGCAGCATCCTCATAATGTTAGATTGAAACAACAAGAGAATTAGGCTTTCCCATTATTCATTTTATCAAATTAACACGGTTTTGCAAAGTTAATGACATCCCCTATGCTCTCATTGGTGAACTTTCCAATACTGAAGGAGGGAGGGCAGAATGTAATGGAAGAAGACAATCGCCTACAGAGAAGCATAGAGAAGAGTAAGAATGAAGCACGAGGAGGTGGAGGACATAGTTACCTAGATCATTTGAAGAGTATGACAGGGGGAAGGGAGAAGCAAGCTGAGGTGAGTGGATTTGAGAAACCTAAGTTGGGTATTTCGATTATTGAACATGACAAAGATGGGGTGAAGATTCATGGATTTGTGATTTTGGAGGAAGGAAAGTGAAGGCTAGGTGAACAGTTTAACCAGAGCTTGAACGTGAAGCTTTTGGGATTAAGAACTAGTATGAAGAAGCTGGAACCAAAATTCCAGAGCATGTGGGTGAGGTCAGGAGTTATTTTAGTGGTAGATCTTCACAATGATTTCTATGTTGTGAAACTGTCGAGCTAAGAAGAATATCAACAGGCTTTAACGTGAAGGATCTTGGCTGATCTCTAATTGTTACCTCATCGTGAGAGAATGGAGTCAAAATTTTAATTCGATGAAGGAAGCTATAGAGAATGCTCTGGTCTGGGTGAGGTAAATAGATTTAACCCTGGAAAATTATGAGGAAGAATTGATGGTGGCTATTGGGGATAGGATTGGTCATACGTTCAAGGTAGACATATCTACATCTTAGGAAACTACAGGGAAATTTGCACAGATTGGGATGCAAGTAGACTTGACGAAACCTCTGCTGCCTAAGTTCATACTGGATGAGAGGGAGTATATACTTGAATACAAGGGGTTACACCAACTTTGTCATTGGTGTGGACAACATGGGCACGTGGAGAGATTGTAAGGAGAAATATGAGGTCAAGGTGGGAGAAGATAGGACTATAACTATAAAGGAGAGGGAGAATAGTTAACAATTCTATGGCCCCTAGAAATTGGTGCAAAAACCAAGGAGGTAAGTAAGGTTTTTTCAGGAGGAATGATTTTAAGGGGATGAGGGGCCCTACAAATAAGGGTGAAAAAAGGCCATGCCAAACATTGATTAAATAGACCTAAGCCTGCCAGGTTATGCTCAAGCTTGAGCCTAGGCCTGTAGCCTATATGGGGCTTGTTTTAAGCTTAGGCATGAGGCCTTTGATGCCTATCAAAGGCTTGGTCTAGCCTAAAGGGCTAATTTTTTAGGTAGAACTTTAAATAGGCTCAAATGCTTAGGCTTTCAAAGGCTTTAAGCCTATCAAAGCCTACTTAAAACCTAAATATTAAATATTAACATGATTTTTGCAAACATTAAACGTGAAAATTCAGTATAATATATTATTGATACAACAACAATCCATCTCAAGTAAACAAATATAATAAGTTAGCAAACGAAAATAGAACAATGAAAAATACATCTACAACAATCCAACAATACACAAGAGTGGCAATAATCAAGTCTTCAATATGGTGTCTTTTGCTCTAATGCCTCTTACACAATCAAAGAATGAATTCACAACAAACACAACCTTCTAATGACCTATTTTTAAACAATGCAAATAGTATACTACAATAGTAAACACCCAAAAGTGATGTTTAGATTATTCAAACATAGTGATATTAGAATAGTAAATAATATAAAGTTAACTTTTGTCTTCAGACTTGATCCCAACTATTATGTGTTACTAGTTTTTAGTTAAAAATTTCGAAAGAGAAATGATAAATGACATCTAGGAAAAGATCAAGGAAGAATCACATCTAAGGATTCCTTAAAAAAATTATTTACAGACAAGGATCAATACAGAACAGATTGTTGTCAAAATGAGAACATGACTTTTTTTCCCCCCGAATGTGGCTTATTGCTGGTCATTGTCTGTGAATAATTTCCTTAAGGGGTCCTTGGATATGATTCTCCCAAAGATCATCTTCTACCATTTAATTATTTCATCTTTAAACATGTATATTTTTACTATAAAAATTATTTTCATACTTGGAAACTTACAATTAACAAACGGATATAGGGGGATATTGTGGTCGAAGACGAGCCAAAGGAAGGAACTGAATGAATATTATTCAATAATATGGACAGGATATATACACGTATAATGATCTTCTATAAAAGGAAATAAAATCAAATATTACTCCTAATGACCCAATTCTATCAAATCTCTATTTTTACAGGGTGAATCCCTCTAATTTCTCTTTAATCATTCTCACACTTCCCCCCAAGTTGGATCATAGATGCTAATCATGTCCAACTTGTTTATACAATTATCAAAAGCGAGTTTGTGTAATTCCTTTGTCAACACATCTGCTGCTTGGAGATTTGTCGGTAGGAAAGCTAGACATATAATTCCATCTTCCACCTTCTCTCTAATAAAGTGTCTGTCTATTTCCACATGCTTGGACCTCTCATGTTAGATAGGATTCAATGCCATACTTATGGCAGCCTTATTATCACAATATAGTTTGAGATGTAGATCAAGTTGGACATGGATCCCTTCCATAACCCTTTTCAGCCACAATTCTTCCATTATGCCTTGAGCAAGGGCTCTCAACTCAAATTCAGCACTGCTTTTGAATACAACTCTCTGCTTTTGACGCTTCAAAGAAACCAAATTTCCCTATACAAAATGAGCAATATCCAAAAGTAGATCTCCAATCTTGGTGATGTCCACCCCAATCTACATCTATATACACCTCTATATTCCTTTGTTCATGTTTTTGAAACAGTAAACCTCGTCTAGGATTTCCCTTTAGGTACCTTAGGATTCTGTATGCAACATTCCATATGTTTTCCCTTCAGTTCACACATATACTGACTAGCAACACTCACAGCAAATGCTATGTCAGGTCATGTGTAAGATAGATAAATAAGTTTCCCAACAAGCCTTTGGTATCTCTCTTTATCCATTAGCCTCTCTTTCTCTTTATCCTCTTCTTCCTCAACATAGTTACCTTTTTCATCTGAATTGCCCTCTCTTCTTTCTTGGATTTTTACCTCCTCTTTGGAACAACAATAGGGGTTTCAATGGATTTATACCCCAGCATACATGTCTCCTTTAAGAGATCAAGTACATACTTCCTTTGAGACACAAAAATACCTTGCTTTGATCTTGCAACCTCCATTCTCAAGAAGTATTTCAGACAACCCAAGTCCTTGACCTTGAATTCTTTTCCCAAAACAGCCTTTTATTCTTGCCACTTCCTCACTATGATCACCAGTGATGATTATATCATCAACGTATACAATAAGGACACACCTCTTACTCCCTTCTACTTTAATGAACATAGTATGATCCGACAGTCCTTGATTGTAGCCTTGTAGCTTTAGAACTTTTGAGAATCTATTGAGCCATGCTCTTGGAGACTGTTTCAACCCATATAATGATTTCTTCAATTTACATACCTGATTCTCCCTTCCTTTATCAAAACCAGGAGGTAGAGTTATATAAACTTCTTTTTTCAATTCTTCATTTAGAAAGGCATTTTTGACGTCTGGTTGGTGTAACAGCCACGAGATGGACCCCAAACATCACTATGGATAAGAGAGAAAGGTTTAGAAGGCTTATATTTAGACTGCAGAAAAGAAGAGCGATGATGTTTAGCCAATTCACAAATATCACAATGAAAATTAGAAATTTTATTAGATGAAAATTGAGGAAACAAATGACTCAAATATTGAACATTAGGATGACCCATTCTTTTATGCCATAACAAAAGATTAGCTTATTCAGAAGTAAACACAAGGTTGCAATAGATTCAAGACCATAGATTACTCACGGTTGATTCATCAGGTAGTAGAGCCCATCACACTCCTCAACACTGCCAATCATTCTCCCCGATGAGAGATCCTGGATAATACAGTGAGTAGAGAAGAAATGAGCACTACATTTGGCTTGTTTAGTCAACTTGCTGATAGATAGTAAATTGCAAGCAAGATAGGGAACATGAAGAACAAAGTCAAGGTGCAGAAATTTAGAAATAGTGATACTACCCTTTCCTGCAATGGAAGAGGATGTACCATTTGCCATGTCAATTTTTTCATGGCCACCACAAGGAAAGTATGAGGTAAACAAGGTAGAGTCTGCATTCATGTGATCTGAGGCTCCAGAGTCAACAATCCACTTTGATTTAGTGGAACATACATTGAATGCAAAATGAGAATTACCTTGCTTAGCAACGGAAGCATTATGAGATGGAGGTGATTGGTTGGATTATAAGCTATGGAGCATCTCTAGAAGCTTATTTAACTGATCCTTGTCAATGGTGGGTAAGGTACCCGATTTGTCTGGAACAGGGCCAGATTTGTCTGAAGTAGAATCAAAAGTAGTTTGATAGCCACGAGATTTACCTTTATATGGTTTCCAATCAGGTGGTCTTCCATGGAGGTCCCAACATTTATCTTTTCAGTGGCCTGTCTTTTTGCAATGCTCACATACAACCTTTCCTTTTGATTCTTTTCACTGTTTTGAAAACTGGACCGGACCGGCTGGTCGGACCGGTCGGACCGTCGACCGGTCTGGTTCAAAGGAAAAAACCGTTTTAAGAGTTAAGCCGGTTTGAGCCGTTTCGAACTGGCGGTCGGACCGGGAACCAGATCCAGTTTTCAAAAACCGGACAGTTCAAAAAAAACTTTTTTTTTATTTTTTATCAAATTAGAAAAAATGACTAATTTTTTTAATCATTTGATATTATATTGTATCATATAACTTGTTAAGTCGTGATAAACTTAAAATATTCAATTTTTTTAAGTTAAATAGCAATTTCATATGTATTTCTTATATTTAAATTATTATATACATATATAATTTTTTTTAATTTAATTATTACGTCACCTGGTCCAACCGGTTGACCCATGCGAACCGTGAACCGCTGACTTTTCCGATTCAATGTCCGATCCGGTTCTGAAAACATTGATTCTTTTTGGCCTTGATTAGATTGTCGGCTCACTAAGGCAAATGACTCAAATGAAGGAACGGTTAAGGAAAGTCTAGGCAACATCACCTTGCGACAAGAAGCCTCACGGCGAACCTCAGCGAATGCATCACGAGTAGATGGTAGAGGGAAGCGAGCGAGGATGCGACTACGAACATCATCTAATGATTGATGAAGACCAGCCAGGAATTGGAATACTCACTCGTCTTCAATAAGCCTCTTATAACATGCTGCATCACTAGGACAAGACCACTCGGTTTCTATGTTGAGATTAATCTCTTGCCACACTAAAACTAACTCCAACTAGAATTCAGTGAGGTCACGCTCACCTTGTTTGATCTGCCAACTTTGAGTTTTGAGATCATAGATTCGAGCAGCATCTTCCCCATCCGAGTAAGACTCCTTGACTGCATCCCAAATATCCCGTGCTATCGGGAGAAACATAAAGGATCATCTGATTTGAGGAGTCATAGAGTTAACTAACCAAGAAGCAACCAGAGAATTTTCGGTCTCCCACTACACCAAGGCAGCCGAGTCTAATGCGTCTAGTGGTTTGGATGTACCAGAGATGAGACCTAGCTTCCCACGGCCTCCAACAACCAATCGAACACTTTGGGCCCACTCATGATAATTGGTCCCATTGAATTTTTCGAACACCAGGACGAGAGACGCCCCCTCGACAGAACTCAACCCGAAAGGAGTTCCGCCATTTAGGGTGATTTTCGAGTCAGCCTCAGCGCCAGAACCCATGAACACAAAGGGTTGAGTGCGCAAGTCTAACTCTTGGCTGGCTCTGTCGTCTCCATCTAAGTGATTGCATTCAGCGTCCACAGGCTCTGATACCATATGATTGAAGACGAGCTAGAGGAAGGAATTGAATGAATATTATTCGATAATATAGACAGGATATATAGACGTATAATGATCTTCTATAAAAGGAAATAAAATAAAATATTACTCCTAATGACCCAATCCTATCAAATCTCTATTTTTACAAGGTGAATCCCTCTATTTTCTCTTTAATTATTCTCACAGATATCTACATAATACCGTAAGGCAAACAAGACACAAATGGAATATGTATAGATATGACAAGCACCAACTTAATTTTATGATAAAGAAAGACCAAAAGATAATTCAAAAAATAATAATAAACCAGAAAATAGTAAGAAAAAGCTTGAGATATTTGCTCAATGACCATGAAAGAAAGGTTTTTTGTCTATGGATAGAGTTAGCTTCATATACCTCATTATGTCTCATTCTTTAGATTGCAAAAGCACAAATGCACCAACGGAAATATCTCCCTTTCCTAAGTGATGAATCAATTATCAAGTCAGAGATGAAGTTGAAAAATTCAGAGAGGGTGTTCTGTTACTCATCAAAATGAAAGTCATCAACTTTGGTAAAATCTTCATCCTTGGCTGATTTGAACCAGCTTCATAGTTCTCCATAACCCCAATAGTTATGATATAGGAAGAAAGGGGAATAAGACGATCAAAATGCAAGGATGAGAAGGACACAAGTCGTGAACACTAGGATTATAAATGAGGGTTTGATAGATCAAGACCACTTGGGACAGAAACCATCAGCAAAGAATAGAAATTATAAGGCAAGAAGCAAGATGCTTTACCTCACATGATGCGCATAAGGGCGACTGTGAAGACAAGCACGAATTTGGGCAACACCGTCATAAAATCTTGAAGTAAAAAGCCAATCACAGTGCAGAACGAAGGAGATGGAGGTGAGCACAAAGACAGCCATGCAAGGAAGAGGGTAAGCAAGACTGAACAGAGTTTTGAATGTGAGGAAGGGCATGAATCAAAACCATGACAAGTGTGATTAACATATTTTTTCACAAAATCATAATTTTTACTTCTAAATTCTAATTCTAAGCACCTAATTGAAATTACATTTCTGCAAAATGACCAAAGAGCCCAAATGTTTAAACAGATCAAAGAATAAGCTCCCGATCAAATACAAGCGAAGCCAGCTTTGCAAAGCAGACCAAGCTCTCCTGCCCTCTCTTTGCAAACTGGGCACCATACAACTTCACTCTACCTAGAAACTGATTATTACCATCAACCCCATACTTCTCGTCATTGAAGACCTTGATCTCTAGCTCTTTGAACTCCATACTGTCTGATTTAGATACTATGAATTTGATAGCTTCGCGCCAAACAGGGGTTCATCTCTTTGAATTTGGTGCTGGTTCTTTTCCTCTGTACTTTTGTTTGAAAGATTTTATTGTAGCCACTCCTCTCTTCTTGTTGTGAAAACAATTCTGTGGAAGACTATTACTGATCCCCTTCCATACCTCTTTGGTCCCATTTGGACATCCCTCTCTACCTCCTTACTCCGCGCATCCTTGCAGTTCCAAACTAATATTTTTTATTCATAAAACAAAATACGATTAACCAACCCAGGCACTTAATCCAACCTCATCAACTGCTCTCCTAAAACCCTTTGTGCAATCCCCCTCTGTCAATTTGCTTAACAGAGTTCATAAAACCCTCACCATGCCAAAACATCAAATTTTGGATCACAAGAAGCAACTAAATCAGCTTAAAGATATTCACCCAACTCTAGAAATTTTTCTTGAAGTTCAGTGCTGGTAATTGTATAGAACCTTTGCATTGTAGCTTCATTGTCTATGACTGTCAAGACTTCATCATTAGGAAATGACATTTGATCCTCACCACTGTCATCCCCTAGTTCTGTTTGTGCCTGAGATTGAGATGGTTCACCATCAACATTGATTGAATAATGATCATATAAAGTATACAAGACATCCATAATTTTCTTTATTACCAACTCACACTTTATAGGATAAGAAAACATGGCTCCAAAAGAAATATTGACATATTTGAATTTGGTTTCGGTGTTGACGAATCCTTAATCATCTTCTATCTACTTCTGGAACTATGCCATGTTTAACCACCACCAAAGAATTATATTTTTATTAAAAACAAAACGGAATTATCATGAATTACAATCCACTGATGTCATTCTTACAGCCCCTACAATAAGTTTTCAGCCATTTTATGCCATAGCATTCTAATGAGATTGCCCTATTTTAAATAGAAGTTTTTGTGAAATTTTCATTTTTCAATATTGACAACTATTTTCTACAACAATCTTATCTCTATCACAATCCATTTCTGCACATCTTTCCTAATATTAGAGAGACAGAACAAGACGTACCGTGAGGATCTGAATCGCGAGCACCTGAAGCAACTTGCGGCGGCAAGTCCGTCGAGAGCACAGAGCAGTTCGCCGTCTAGATCGAGCTGGCCGACAAGTGAGCACCGTGAGGGAGGAGAGGTCGATTATCTGAGGAGACGACGGGCGAGACCACCATGAGTCCCTTGTCGAGATTGAGATCTGAGAGGGAGGAGAGGCCGAGTTGCTGAGATGAAGAAGAACGATGGCCGGCCGAGACTGAGTCTGACAGCGAGAAGGGGAATGCATGACAGTCTGCAGAGACTTGTGAAGCTCAGGTTTCTTTCGGCCAAAAACAAAAAAAACAAAAAAAACAAAAAACAAAAACTGAAGCTTAGAGCCTGTTTGTTTTCTATTCTTAAAAATAATTTTTTAATTTTAATATTTTCAAAACAATAACTTGTTTGGTTAATGAGTTTTTCATTTTTTTTTTTTGAAAACAGTGTTTAATTTTTTGTTTTCAAATACAAGAAAATCAAAACAACTTTTAACTGTCTCTATTCCTATTTTTTTTGTTTTTACTGAGTAAAAGCGGGAAATATTGTTTCTGTTCCCACATTGCTAAGAGGACGATTTTGGTGATCACTGATTCAAACATTTTTGCCTTCCTCAACCTCATGCTGCTTTGCTATTTGATTTCTTTCAATTCAATTTCTCTGTAATTAGGCTTATGTTAAGGCTTTCTTCTATTTGTACAAAATGATTGGTTTATGATTTTTACTTGATTCTACCCTATTTTACTTAACTATATCTCTATCTCATTTATTGTAATAACTGTAGATTCTTTTAGTATTTATTAGAATATCTCATTTTATTATAATATAAATTTCTCATTTTTCATTTTCTGAAAAATGTTTCCACTTTTGTTAATGTTTTATTACACACACACATAGATATATATATATAAAAAAAAGCAAACTTACGTACTTAACTTTATACTTAACATATTTTTATCTAATAAATTAAATAAATAAATTTTCATATGCTAATAATATTAAATAATTACATGTCTATCTTGGTTTAATTAGAAAATTAAACAAATAATTTTGCGTCTATAAGTTTTTATGTTCTTATAAATATTGCTCATTTTGTGTAAGGAAATTCCAAAAAAATAAATTATATTTTATTGGCAGCAACATATAGACTCATTCTACCAAGCAAAATAACATCCAAAACAATTTTTATCAAACAAGTTTTATTATATTTTAGTTTTTAGAACTTATTTTTAATATTAATTTTGCCAAGCAATTTTCTTTGTTTTTTTAATTCTAACACTGTTTTTGAATTACTGTTACCAAACAAGTTTATTTTTTATTTGTTCTCAAAAACAGTTTTTAAAATTATTTTATGAAATAACTTTTGAAAACAAAAAATGAAAACAATAACCAAACAAGCCCTTAGTCTCTTCCCTTACACACGGTGCGTTTTGATATGGAGAGGGGAAAAAATGAAAATCAGACCTAGAAGATCAGGTGGGGCCCATTTTCTCAAGACTTATCAAAGCTGAACTTTAAAGCTCAATTTTCTAACAACTATCAAAATTTTCAAACTCAAACTCTTATAAAAAAGGCTTAAATTGGGCCCTTCAAACCTGATTCTTGTTATCAACTCTAGTTAAGACAATTATTTGTATCCAAAATTAGCTCTCTCAACTTGCCTCCAAATTGAAAGATCTTGATGTTGATAATTTTTATGAGTCTACAACTATTGTTGTTGGTAATTTCATTAATATTCTTAATTTATATTATTTTACACTTTTTACATGTTAATGAATATCATTTTTCTTAATTTGTTTTGTAGATGAAGAGTCAATAGCTTAATGTTTAACTATTTTAAGTGAATCCAAAGATGGCGATAATCCAATGCTGGATTAACATATATGATTTTCTATTTTAAGAGCTTATCTTGCTTGCTTATTGGCTTGTTGCTTGTTGGTTGCAATTGCAATTGCAAATATCATTTCTCTTAATTTTTTTTTCATAAAGTAACAGTTAGGAGCTCAATATTTAATCATCTCAAGTGAATATAAAGATGATGATGAATATGAAGATCCAATGCTAGGTTAACATATATGATTGTCTATTTTAAGAGCTTGTCCTGGTTGATTGTTGGCTTCTTACATGTTGGTTGCATGTGGCAATTGCAAATGGCAAGACTATTCGTCAATTTATATCGTTTAATTAATATTCTGATTAATCATATGTTGTTTGATTTCAAGATTATAATTATAGTTGGATGGCTATACTATGTAACATTTTAGATTGTTTCCTTTGATAATGATAATATTTGAACTATTGCATTGAAATTTTAGGTAGAACTAGAAATGTAGAACATGTCTTTATTATTATTTTTTTTAAATGGCAATCTTCAAAATAGGATGGACTATTTTAACCGTTTCATGCCTCTTAATTGTTTCATTAATTTGAACAACCATGTCCCTTAATTGTCTCTTGAGGTTACCCTGGTTGTTCCAATTTTGGTTAGTTGTTTACTATAGTAAATTCTTGATTCCCTACCATTTATCCCCTCCTAGAGGATGGAACTAATACTAAGAAGAATTTGGGGGTATATTAGTAATATAAATATGCAAGGGCAATAATTAAATGTAAAGAATGATTATTGTGAACATCTATATACCAATG